TGTGTCGGTTCTGCAGTGCTCAACTAAAACTAGCAGGACCCAGCATGCAATTATGAGACCAGAATGGCTCCCAAAGTACACACGGTACTGAGACTTCCAGCAATTATTTCTGTGATCCTTCAGATAGAGGTTGTTCAGGGACAGAACTGCTCCTTTAGGTAATTACATTCCCAGGGCTACATGGGGCCTGTCAGACTTTCCCCTCTCTCCATCACAGGCCAGTTTTGTGGTTCGTTATAAAATAAACATGTCATCCTGATGGGAGTTTTCTTAGTCACTCTCAAATGCAGAAAATATAACAAGCAGTAGCTCAACTGAATCTGAACACAACCAATTCACTGCTACACAAGACACAAAATGTTGCTTCCCATCTGCATACAGCACGTGGGACATGGGTGACTTTCCTAGCAGTGATTTTATCAGCTAAGATGTGCAATTAAGTCGGCATTTGTCCAACAAAAGGTAAAAATGACTATCTAGGTGATATCACACCATAAGCAGAGCAGCAAAGGCTCTGGAGCATCCTGGAACGATCAGTCCCATGTGTGACTTTCTCCACCAAGCTCTGCTCTGGCAAAATTCCTTATTCAAGGTGGGAAATGCAGAACTCTCATGTCATTTTTGCATTACTGGATGTAAAGCTTGGAAAGCGGAACTGCCTTAACCACACGGCAGGAGGATGGTAGTTCATAATTAATTTTCCACATCAACTGTTGGCCGTCCTCCTCTACCTCTCTGCTAGGCTGCAAACTGCCAGCGATAGTCATCCAAGAGCAGATATACTACAGAGCAAAAAGTATGATTATTATCAGCTGTGCTTTACAGTGTGGACTTGCCAAAAGTAAGAGGTAAGCGAGCTGGAGCAAAGTACCAGTGCAAAGGCAGTCCTGCCTGAAGCTGCTTCTCATCCAAGAGATGCAAAAATTAAGGGGATAGAAAAACGGAATGGGGGAAGACAGGCAGAAGGGGAAAGGCTGCAAGCAGATATAGAAATGTATTCTAAGAAAAAAGTTTTGAGCCAGGCAACTCCAAAACACCTGCAGCCCAAAGAAACAGCCATCCCCATTCATTCCAGTATGCTTCCACCTGTGACATGCCCACAGGCTGCCAAGCAGCTCAGTAGTGGAGAAGGGGCTCCAAACTTCCTCAGCTTCTGAAGAGAACAAAACTTCACTGCCATTCAGACCTTAGTTAAAATTTTCCACTCCTCAAACTTGAAATTTCTCAAAGACCAGAGTGCAAAGTAATTACAAGCAGGTCTTTGGTCCTTATAGGAAAAAGGTCTCCAGAAGAAAATAAGCCACTGCTTCATCACCAGAAGGCAGAGCTGCAGGCTGACAGCTCAGAACAAGCTCTTTTGTGTGACTTTGGGCAGATACTTTGACTTCTCAGTATTTCAAGAGCACAGGTAAAGGACTACTACTGTATTACTGTTCTGTGATTGATATCTTAAGAATTCCATGGTAGTTTTAGAGTTTCTTATTTTCTTTCAGAAACTCAACTCAGTTCTGCTGCTGCTATCAGCTTTTAATTCATTTTACACCAAGATATTTGTTATCAGAAATTGTACTTTGATATGTGTCAGGTTGATGGATTCAATAAAAGCCCTGTCAGGAGGAGCAGAGCGAACAGAGTGGCAGAAGTGGTGGCATCAGTAGAATTGATACGTTAACAGCCAGTCTGCTGATCTTGTAACAAGACACGCAAGCATAATAATCGTTTCATTTCCTAACTCTGGCAAAATAGTTCTGATAAACACTGGAAAACATTTGCATAAAAATTACTCATACAAAAAAGCTCAAGTGTTGATAGGAACACCGATAGAAAAAAGCCATACGCAAATGTGCTCCCATGCGCAGCTCTGTGTTCCAGTTTGGTGCTGAAAATTCAATTGAGAATAAAGCATTTATTCAAAACATAACTTCAGGAATTCAAGCAGATATCCCCAGATAACCCAACTGAGTATTTCCTTCCATAGTACTGGAGCAGGATTTCACTAACATTTTCAGACACAGTTGGTAGACCTGAACCCCTCATCAAGTCATTGGAAAGCCACATTATGGTTTATTTTGACATCCAGACTTGCAGACACGAAAACCAGTGTTTCTGATTTCATAGTATAGGGAGTGAGAAAGTGGTCAGTGCACTGCCAGAGGTCAACAAGAACTTGTGTATACCAGCCACCTGCGCTGAACCAGCTGCACTGTGCTACAATGCAACTTCCTAACTTCAGATAACTACAGAGTGTTTGGGAGTGGCTAAAAAAAGTGATTTTTTTTTAAAAAAAAAGAAATTATATTACAGTTAAAGCAAATGGAAAAGTTCCAAAGCAATTCATCTGAAAGAGTTGGTTTACGCTGAGGATTTACGTCCATGTAATGAAGACAATTAATTGCTATGAGATCCATAAAACATTAAATGAATATAGGTTGGTTTTCTTCTTTCTTCTCAATTTTTCTTGCAAGACAAAGTTTATTAACTACGTTTAATTGCCATTTAAAATTCTTCTCTTACGTATTTATTGAATGTGCTTTTTTGGCAGAACAGAGCATTTTACTAACCAGATTCTACTAATCTAAAAATAAGCACTTTAAGAAAAAATACTACTCTGCATTTTATCCACAGATCAGTTTAAAATAATTCCTTACACAAGAAGAATACCATTACCATAAATACGTTTGCGTTGTTAAAGGGGGATCAGCCTGTCTCACATGAGTAAACATGCTGCAAAGATGAACATGTTCAGCTAACATCATTTGGGCATATGGTGCCACTTCCAGCAGAGATACAGGATAAATGTGGGTCCTAATGTCATTTGGTGTTACCATAATCACTCAAACTAACCACATGAAAGAATTGGATCAGGTCAAAGCAGTAACCTCAGACAAACAGATCTGCACCCAAATCTGCTTTGACACACAGGGATCCTCAGCAGCACAGCCGAGGCCATCCCTGCACCTCCAGCTGAGGGTATGACATGCAACTTCTGCATTGTAGGTGCCCATGTTCATTGCAAGGGAGTTGGACTAGATGACCTTCAAGGATCTCTTCCAACTCAAACGATTCTGTAATTCTGTGACTTGTGATTACATGCAAATCAGACATATTTGCTGCTCAGAAGCGACTGCTCCTTATTCACCAGTCATAAAATGGGGATAAGCAGCAGTTCTGCCTTATGAGAATGTTATGGGAACAGAGAAAGTTGATGGTGGTCAACTATTTCAGTAAGACTGCATGAACCCCTAGGAGGAAGAGAAAGCACAGAGAACAGTCTGGACAGAATGGACAACAGCAATGTAGTCAACTCCTTAAAAACTGGTGCAGTGTTCTTAAAGATCAAAAATCCCCATAAACATCTGAGCTTTCCTTACATAAGAAGAAAGATTTCAGCTCCAACAGTCACAAAGAAAATACGAAAATATTACAAAAGTCCACACTGGAGCTCAGTGTCTAAATAATCACAGAATCACCGTATCTTCCAGTTTGGAAAAGATCTTCAGATAATTAACAGAGCCCACACATCCTGGGGCACCTGTGTACCCAGCAACACATGCAGAGCAAGGAAGATTTGTGCATTTTCACCTACAATAGCCAGAACAGAGCTTTCTTGACTTTCAACATTTAGAAGTTAAGCACATAATATAAGCTATTCCCACCAACTTTTTCTACAATCACTCAAGCTGATACCCACAGTGGTCATTCAGGTGTGTACAAGATGCTCAACACTAACTTCCTCCTAAAAATACCTTTTTTAAGCTAAATATGTGAAGCTCAGGTACCTAAAATGCAGACAGCTGACCTAGGCAAGATAAATCCTGGGACCTAGGCAAGATAAATCCTAGGCAAGATAAATCCGCAGCAATGCAGTGCTCTGAAGAAGAAGAAAGCAGAAGAAAGCAGACAAGGGTCTTGGTCTGCCTGACACCGCTCTGTCACTCTAGCTCCTGCTCACAATTTCATGGAGCCTGTGGGATAGAAGGAAGACCCAGCTATCACCCATTTGGCAGCAGACAAAACCACAGGTGTGGTTTCCTGACTGGGACCTGCTGATCTTCCCAACTTACAACATTCAACATACCAGTGAGTGCAATACAACGTACATAGAAAGACACCCCCCTCCCCCCCCCCAGCACTAAATACAGGTATGACATTGCTGATACATTTTTCTCAAGAAACTACTGCTGGTTCAGTCATGAAAGAGAAGTCAGTACCTGCGTGCTAAACAAAAAATGATAGCATCACCTGAAACCACTTTATTAGAATGTGGGAACCAATACTAAAAGAAGTTTTGTTCTTTGGAAGCTTATTTTGCCTCCAACAAAATAACTTGGCCTATGTAAAAGAAACCATAGTATTGGAGGCTACATGACATAAAATGCTTCTACAATACGTTCCTTAAGTTCCGGCCCCAATTTCTTGTTAAAAGATGAGTTGCGCTCTTTCTTGCTATGTTTACAGCATAACAAAAGAAACATTCTTATGTATATAAAATCCTGAATGCATATAAAAACTACAAGAGCCACACAACCAGGAGAGTGCAAAATTATGCAAGAAGGGGGTATTATTACTCCTTGGCAAGCAGTGAAAATATACTGAACACAAAAGAACTCACAGGACTGTATTACAAATTGACCACTTCAGCACTGTTTGCTTTCCTCTCCAATCCTCTGAACTATAGAGGTAAGTGAAACACAACAAGCATGACTTTCAAAATGCGGATTTCTATCAACGGGCATACATCACCACCAACAGAACACAAGCATCAGTGAGCATTTTGGTCATAAAGCATCTGGTATCAACATGCACCCCCTTAAGCCCAAGACTCCAGCAAGACTTCAGTCTTGATGATCGCTCTCCACATTCAGAGAGAGCAAAGATTATTTACTGAGGAAGTAAACATATGGCACATATATAGCAATAAACACAAAGGCTGATAACTTCCTATCTTTGTCAGATGTAGATACTCAGAAAAAGACAAAAGCCGGGGGAAAATGACGTACCTTACCAGACATGAATGTTGGACTCAACTCATTTCAGAGCAGCGCTGGCATGAAGGTAAGTTCCTCAGGTGACCACCAAATGCAATTTCTTTCTCAGCTCTCCAGAGGGTCCAGCTCACCCCTCTCCTTGTCACTGAGGCAGATGCAGTGTCCTCCAGTACGTCAGAGCCTCAGCTGTGAAAGATGCTGTTCAGAATCAGGAAAGAGAAGAAGGTGTGGCATTAAATTCTGGGGTCAGTTGTTTGGCAGATTCAGAGCAGAGCATAAGACAACATCTGATAGAAATAAAATGTCAAGGCAGGACGGAGTCTGTGACAATCCATCACGCATGGCACCTTTGGAGGGCAATCTCTGAATACAAGAACTATGGTGCAAAGCTATTCTTGCCTTACAAAACTTTAATAGTACCACTGCACCATGAAACAAATGCTAGCTCGGCTGCATTTTATTCTAGTCTGATATACTAAGAAATAAGTAATACATTTCTCCATAGGGAATGTTTTAATTCATTATAGCATTTTCGCAGAATAACAGAACTTTTATATTAAAAGCAATGACACAGCCTCAGTCTTAATACTTTGCACTGTTTAAAAACTGCTCTCATTTAGGAAATTCAAAGCTTCTCAATGGGCAATTACATTAGGTCTTATAGTTAATGGGAAGCAGTGACTGTCAGCACAACACTCAACAACATGTTCCTGAATTCAATCGTCAGAGACAGAAAAACATCCTACGGATTTCTGGGAGGGCAGGAGCTCTGTATCACCATGTTTTCTGGCTTCCTATCACTGATCACAGCCAGCTTGCAACAACATCCAACAACCTTAGAGAAGGACTGGGAAGTTCAAACATTTGTATGCCCATTGCTGCCATCACATTCTTCACCTCCAATCCCTCTGGACTGTACATAACCAAAAGTCCATACAGCAATCACAGCCACACAGATCAGAACCTTCATTTCAGAATCCTTCATTTCCTGGCACAATGCAGACCTCCTGTGCCTCTTGAACTCAGACTTAATGGAAAAACACAAAGCTTCACAGATTCTGTCATCTTCCAGGCTAACTATCAAGCCTTTGGTTGCAAATGGCACATGAATCACAGAATGGCCAATGTTGGAAGGGACCTCAAGAATCACAAATCTCCAACCCTCTTGCCACAGGCAGGGCCATCAACCTCCCCATTTAATACAACACCAGGCTGCCCAGGGTCCCATCCAATCCAGCCTTGAACACCTCTAGGGATGGGGTATCCAAGACCTCTCTGGGCAGCCTGTTCCAGTACTTCACCTCTCTCACAGTAAAGAACTTTTCCCTGACATCCAACTTAAATCTTCCCTCCCTCAACTTAAAACCATTTCCCCTTGTCCTGCAGTTATCAACCCTTTCAAAGAGTTGATTCCCCTCCTGTTTGTAGGCTCCCTTTAGGTACTGAAGGCTGCCATGAGGTCACCCCGCAGCCTTCTTTTCTCCAGGCTGAACAAGCCCAGCTCCCTCAGCTTGCAGGGGAGATGCTCCAGCCCCCTGATCATCTTCATGGCTCTCCTCTGGAACCTCTCCAGCAGCTGTCTTTCTTGTACTCCAGACCTGGACACAGTACTCCAGATGGGGCCTCATAAGAGCAGAGGGGGACAAAATAATGAAAAAAATCAGACTGCCAACCAGAATGGTTGCTAAATGACTGACGGCTGCTGATGGGATGATGCTGCAGCAGCAGACCTGCAGGGAGCAGCAAGACCCAACCCTGCCTCTTCAAGAGGATTTCTGTCTCTGGGGACCACAGTTACAATAACTTCTTAATTTTTCTTCATAAAAGCCTAACACAAAAATCATAAAGAAAATCAGTTCTGCATTCTTGTGCACTAACTATAGAATCATCCGAGTTGAAAAGCAGAAGGAACAACAGGAGTAGATTATCATTGTAAACTGAGTGCCGAAGCCTGGTCTCAATTTGGAAGAGATGCGTTTTTGAAAGCTCCTATTCAATACAGCTTGCTAATGCTCATCTGAGGGAAATCTCTTTGGTAAGAATTTGGCACGTTGTCTTAACATGCTGCTATGCATGCCCTTGGAGTTTCTCTTCTGTCTGAATTCCTGCACTGCTGGGTGGACCATAAATTACAGCACAGGCAAGAGAGCACACTTTCAGCTTTTGGCAAAGACAAAAAAAAAAACAAAAAAAAAACCTTCCCTCACATCTAACCACTACCATTAGGAGACTGAAAGCACAGCAGCACTAAGCTGGAAAATGCTGCCACAGATTCCAGGCAAGCAATTGCCCAAGTCAGACTGGAATTGTAGAGCAATGCAGATGTGCAGTGATGCTGGAGGGTGGGGAAAAATGGGAGCTGTGGCGATGAAGGAGATAAACAACTTTGGTTTCAAGAAAATGCAGTGACTATATAATATTCAAGCACATTCCTAAATTAACAGAGTTAAATGTATTAAATCAGTCTACAAGTCACAAGAGCAGGAATATAGATGTTCTCATTAATCAGAAAGACAGACGAGAGTTTTCTAGTAAAAACTGTATTTCCCTTAGAGAAGCCTCACCCCGTTGCTGATAGAAAGTATGTATTACACAAAATAACTATATACTTTAGATGTAATGAATCAGATCGAGTCTTAAATTTGAAGACACCACTTCTATCTTAAAATGTTCTCAGACCACAGATCAATGAAGGTTAGAAGACCATCCCAAAGGCAGCCTTGCTTTACCCTTTGTCCTGTTCTTACACTCTTCTTCAGGCACCAGCTATTTGTCACTGTCAGGGTGAGGACAGGAGCCAGCTGGACCTTTATCTGACCCAGTACAGTCATCCTTGTCTTTGGGTGTCATGTAGCTCAAGGTGTGGACCTTGCAGCTATGATCATACATAGTGAGATGTATGTGTGAACGATTATATTCTCACTAATGTGACAACAATCACATTAGTGAGAATATGCAACTTTTTACAGGGCTAAATGAGGTATCTACAAGCTGAACAATTTATTTGTAACTGTATCTTACTGTGCATATATTCAAATTACTGTTTGGCTCTTCAAAAATTCATTACAACCTAGCTAACTGCAATTGAGGACATTAGCTGGGCCTGGAAAAATTATATATTTCAGGAATCCAATGACTTAAAAATCTGAAACCATATCTAAAGTTGTTTTGGTTTTACTGCTGCTGTGGACATTAGGAAATCAAAGCTTTGCGTGTGCACCCACGTGGACTCATATACAACACTCAAACATGCACAATACGTGTGCATGCAGTCTCCTAATTCCCCTTTCCCTAGGGCCACACTTGGCCAAACACAAAACTAATGCAGGGGAGCTCTACTGGTAGAAGCATAAAAAAGGTTGTGAAACAGGCAGGGAAAAACACAGGTTTATTGCTAGACATTTAACAAAGTCAGCCTCTTCCGGAAGGGCAAGAAAAAGATCCCAGAGCAGACACTGAACACAGCAGGAAATAACGCCGATTCATTAGCAGACATATCTTCTAATTACAGCCTTGGACATTAGCCCCCATACAGCAGAGTAAGCAACAGCTGCTGCATTTTGCCCATCCTTCAGTATCAAACTCACTGTCTTCTAGAAAGCTTCAGGACAGCATGGCTTAATCAATCCCAACACACTCACTGGCTTCAGCTGAAAGCAAAGGTATTCAGCTATCTCAGAGGATGCTCATGACTCCTCACAGCTCATATTGTAATGGAAATTGGCTTCTGTGTTTTTACTGGATTTGTTTTTCTGCTCCTGTTGCATCAAGGAAGCTGTAGGATCAACAATTCATCTTGTCAGCTCCATCTCTGGTAAAGATCTTACATTAATTTAGTGTAGAGGTGACACTGGTGAAGAAGAGAATAAAATGAGGCTTTGAATCCCTCTTTCCAGAAGGCTAATGGTAAAAAATTGGTAGCAATACTACTATGGCACCTTTCCAACTATAACACTTACAGCGCTGCCCACGATCGTGTCCCAGACATACTTTGTCATTCATGATGGCTGAGTACAAAACATAAATAAAACAGAAGTCACCAGCAATCCTAGCATTCGTCTGTTTTGAGGCTTTTTTTTTTTTTTCCCTGCCAACAAAACCAGTAGCAAAAGAGCTGAGCTGCAATTCAGGTGATAACGTCAGTGATTTGGATAATTGGTGGAGGCCGGCAGGGTGATGGACGTCCTCAAGAAATGAACTCAACGCAAGCAGTAACAAAATGGAGAATACACTGCCTGAAATATAATGGAATGCTGTGATGCTGCTGAAGGTTAGCACTGCTTTTTGCCATCCAAGTGCAAACTAAAGGCATCCAGGAGAAAAAAACAAGGACAGTGGTAACCATGTCTGTCATTAACATCAGCATAATAGTACTTATGTTACATGGTAGAAAAGTAAAATTAAACTGACAGGTTTCTCTCAGATACAGCTACGTGATACAACTTTGCTGATACAGCGACATCTAACTGGATTTCTCCTCACTCAAACCTAAACTGGGAGCGTAACTAGAAAACAATCACGTCACTCAGCTTAGTGTCACAATTAAACAGAGCCTTACTTTCATGGTGTACATGGCTCTCTCTATCACAGAAAAAAGAAACCACGTGTCTATTTCTACCAAATTTAAAGCATGTTTCTTCAGCCCAGCTGCACTATAGCAATCAGCATTAACATTTGTCCTGCTTACAGAATTCTTCGTATCGAAGTATAGTATAAGAGTCTGAAACTGTACGGCAAGGTGAAGTCAGTGTCTTTATATTCCCTTGCCCCCTTTTTCCTTAAGCCAAAGAAGGCTGCCTGCAGCACCTGCAACGGCCTCCAAAAGGCTGGGCTCGCACACCCACTGCCCTCCCCCAGCAGTCACCATGATGCAGAGGTGGGATCATGTGTGGGATGTGCTGTGAGATCCTCAACTGCCCCACTTTGTCAATATATGCCACAGTGTAAACCTAATTCTGTTAACCAGGGAAAGACATCATTTTTGGATCTACTCCAAGATAAACTTCAACACAAACCGAGTTAGCATACTGAGACTCTTCTGGAATATATTTGGATCTATTTTCTATATTCCGTAATTCAGTTACACGCCAGGACAAGGAACGCTGCTCATTACTGGAGGACTCACATACCCCTGGATCTCTTTACCGCAGCTGATAGCATAGAAGTGAATCGTATTACAGGATCAGGGCATTAAAGCA